TCTGCCTTTCTTGCTCTCAGTCTGATCCTTTGGTTACGAGAGGAAGGCGGCAGGCGGGATTGCAACCCATAGGTCCGCGCCAAGGCCTCTATGGGAGGTTGCCCCACCGATTGCGGGAGCTCTGCCGGAACCCAGGCGGGGTTCTGGAGGCAGGGAACATTAGGTATAACCTCGATAACCTGTGTGATCCCTTCCCCTACGTTTTATCCCTGGGCTATCTAAACATAACTATGTGAGTTATCACTTCTTATTTTTGTTATGTCTGTCAGGACATGCATCTTGAAAGTAAATGAACAAGTATGTGTGAGGTAAGATATTACTGAGTGAATGCAGACAAAGATGAACCTGGGGGAAGGCAGGCTGAAGGTTGTTTTGCATCTTGACTGGGTCAAACCAAGGCTGAGCTCCCCTATGTTGGTGTGGGCTCAGTGCCGTGTTTATTTTTGTGTGCTGGGCTGACTGTTGACTTTGAGGGCTGGATCGATTCCTATGTTGGACGATTCAGTCGCTGTTTTCTTTGGGGTTTCTGAACAGGAGGGCTGGCGCCCTATGTTGGGATGTCTCAGAATCCTGATATTTATTTGTGGGTTGTTGAAAGCAGAGTTGGGGCTATTCTATGTTGCGTGGACCCAACTTTGTGTGTGTTTTTTCTGAGGGAGATAAAGGCATAAGACTGGCCGTATCCCTATGTTGGGGCGGTTCAACCATGAGCCATGAACAATAAAGTCATCTGAAGTATACAACCTTGATATACTATACGAACCTATATGGTCAGACAGACCGGGCGCCCTATGTTGGGAAGCCAGTTAGTAAGTCAGGTAGAACAAAGCAGAAAGGAAAGCAAGTGAACAATACAATGAAGGTAATTCGGGCAGGCTGGCCGTATCCTTATGTTACGGCGGTTCGACCTTATGCTCGTAATAACATAAAGGTCAGAGAGTTGGTATAAATCTGCTTTTATTTTCCCTTCTAAACACAAGGCAGGGTTGGATGTCTCCCTATGTTGAGTAGGTCTAACCATCTGTCTAATAAGAGAGAACTCTATAAAGTTTGTTCAAGTGCATTCATGGTTGAATTATCTGTCGTTGCGGAGGCTAGGCATATCCCTATATTGGGGTGTTTAGTCATCCGTTGTTATGGTATTTCAGGCAGATCGGGTTGTATCCCTATGTTGGGGCAGTCTGGTCGCAATGCCTTACGTAATTAAACTGTTTAAGCAGTACTAGGTCGTATCCTTAAGTTAGGGCGGCCTGGTAATATGCTCTTGTCGTTGAAGTGATGTAGGTTGGTCGTATCCCTATGTTGGGGTGGCTCAACCACTCGTCGTTCGTATTTGGTTTTAGGCAGGTTAGGTTGTATCCCTATGTTGGGGCGGTCTAATCCTATACCATATGTAACTTGTATAAGCTGGTTAGGCTGTATCCTTACGTTAGGGAAGCCTAGTTTATGCTTCATGTCGTTAGTCAGGCAGAAGTCAGGCATATCCTTATGTTAGGGTGTCTGGTCATATGTCTTATGTCTTGGTTTGTGTTGTGCCGACTGTATCCTTATGTTAGGGCAGTTGGACATACGTTCTTTTGTCATGTGTGGGTTGTATCCTTATGTTAGGGCTGTCCAATCGTGTGTACCCTTTACTTGTTTACTTAGGCAGGTCAGCCATACCCTTATGTTAGGGCCTTGTCTGATCTTATGCCATAGGAGAGGGGGATGCTAAAAGGGAAGAATACAGTGACCAAACGAACTACTTGGTTGAATCCATGTGGGATTGTGAGAGATGTTTGCGTTTGTATGATTGTGGGTTCTCACTTGGGGCATCTCTTGATAGAGTAGTTGTTGTAGATGTTCGCCGGGTGCTAGAGCCATAGGTAGGTAAGGTGGATGATGGGAGGGAAGCTTGGGATGAGATAGGACTGACCTTGTTGGGGATTAGGGTCAGCATTGGTTCATGGTCTCATTCAGGGGGCATGCAGACCAGTGTTGAGCCTAACTTGCCAAGCAGATGTCAGAAGTAAGTCCCAAGTATAGTTTTGCTTTGCAGCTTGTTCCTCAACTTTGTATAAATCTTGGCAGCCTACTTTTCCTACGGGAAGCGCTGCCGAAATTTCTGCAAATCTGAGGGAGTTAGTCATTTTTGAAGTCGTATAAATTTTGGGAAGACATTTTTCCTACGGGAAGCGCTGCCGAAATTTCTGCAAATCTGAGGGAGTTAGTCATTTTTGAAGTCGTATAAATTCTGGGAAGACATTTTTCCTACGGGAACCGCTGCCGAAATTTCGCAAAATTAGAGGAGTTAGAATATTTTCAGCCAGGTAGAGGAGATAGGATGTGAGGAGTATTCCTCACTCGTGCTGAACCTAGGAGCAATTTCTCTTTGACCTGTGCTGTGGTGAAGGTTGTACGCTTATTTCGAAGGTTTGACTTGGTCAGCCTGACTACTCTTCTGTTATCACTGATAACTGGTCCGTTGCCGATTCGTCGGTACACGACTCAACCTTCCATTTTCTTCCGCCTCTCAACCTAAAGCCTTGTTCCTGGTTGGTTTTCATGTTTCTTGGGTTTTCACCTAACTTCTTTATAAATGACCATTTCTTGAGAACCGAGTATCTTTGTTTGGAATGGTGGGGGAATGGTTGGACTTGTGTGCATAAGGCAGGGTATGAGTTGCAAAAAGTTGGAAAGTTGACCCCCTTTAGTGTGTGCGCTGTTGTTTGACTCTTGTGTGTGATCACAGGTATGTTTGAAGCATGTTGAATGAGTCTGATGTTCTGATTGTATTGAGTTCAGACGGGCAAGCCACGTAAACTATTGTGAGAGTGTACTATCGCACAACTCTTTGCCTGACTAATCTCTTTGTCTATGTATTGAGGCTAGGCTCACGCTCGCATAGCCCTCACCCGATTGTGCGAGTGCATGCCTATGCCCTTTCCGTATCCCTGTGTAACCTAGCTAGGGAGACGATAAATGTCTGAAAGTGAGTTTAAGTGTGGCAAGGGTGCGCACGAATGTGGTCCTAAGGTTCGGTCAACCCCAGGGAAAGCCCGCACGCGAACATGCAACGCTCTGAGCGCTGGGTTGCTAGGGCACCCGTATTGAGCCCTACCCACGCGCGACCCTTCGCGTGACTGGTCAAGTATTGTGTGATGCGGGGACCACGCGAGAAGAGGAAGGATCCCTTCCCCTACTCCCTCGCAACCCACCTTTCTTTTTTTTGAGTTCTGTATTCGGACGTTAGTCCTTGGGCCAGGAATTCAAGGTCCTTGTCAACAAGGACCCTGAACCAAACCCTGCGGCGGGGGATTTTTCTCCCGCACAGGGCCTAAGTGCCCTGCCCACCAGGCCGCTTAACCGCAAGGCTAGGGGTGCCCTGTGGGCCGAACGGCGTGTCCTTCAGCCGTTCAATACTGTGAGGGGCGAGCCCCCACGATATATTCCTTCAGCTATTCAATATCGCGAAGATATTCCAGCGACCGCTTGAGTTGGACAACATTGCTGGTCGATATGGGAAGGCCTAGTACCCGCGTGGATTATATAGAGTCCAGCGTGCGACGCCGACCTGACTCCCACATCGAAGAGTTATGGGTCTGACGACGGAGACGGAATCGCATGATGGGCAACAACGCGAGGAAGTGTGTAAGGATTCCACGTTCGAGCGCTCAAGCGCGCCAAACGTCGGCCCGCTTAGGGGCCAGACTTGGGTTTTGTTTGCGCACGGCTTCGTGCTAGCCTGCTTTTAAAGGGTATCGGGGCGGACTACGGGCTAAGCAGGGTCGCTCGCCCTGACTAAGGCCTTTGACAACTTCCTTCTTGAAGCTTTAATGGTTGGATGTTGTAGTCCGTGGCAGCCGTCAAAGTCGAACCCCTTGATCTTTGGCTGCCACGACAACTTGAAGCTGTCTACTCAACCCCTCTGCACAGGGTGCAGAAGAGGGTGTGGTCCTCAACCGCTCATGGCGGTTGTCTAGCGCGGAGAGATTGACCCTTAACGCGCTTGTCAGCCGACACTGGAGTGTCGAAGGAAACCCTCAAACCAACTTAGGGCCACCCAGGCTTGGACGCTACATAGTACCCCATCACTGTGATCGTTTATGTAAGCACGCATGACTGGTTGGTATGAGAAGGTCGTGCGTTCGCGGGGTCCTTTATACTAAGTCCAGCGCGCAATGGTTACCTAGCGTTCGTGTCGAAGAGTTATGGGTCAGATACCAAAGGGACTGGGAGTTGTATTTTCTCTGTTTTGCTTGTGTGTGCGTGTGTGCGAGTTACTTGAATTTTGTTTTAGAGTGGTGTAGCGCGTGGTGTGCGTGAAGTGTCATAGTCGACCAACGTCAAGTCGAGCTTGGGACTTCAGCCCCCCGGTGTCGCCGACTCGCGTAGGGGTTCGATTTCGGGCGTTGACCGTGCGTAACCCTAATGCTACAGCGAACGAGAAACGCCCTCGGCTGGGCCACCTCTGCAATTGCATTATAAAATCTTTCGCATGTGGTTCAGTAGCTCGGCAGGAATACGCCCACCAAAGGGATGGTGACAGCCCCCGCTGGTGGAGGTAGCGGTGCCTCGCGTGGCCCTGTCCTGTCGTAGGGGCGCGTGAGAGATACGGCTGGCGCACTCGGCCGGAGCGGCAACACGCTCTTCCGCAACAAGTCCTGCCAAATCCTGCGTGACGCGGCCGGGAGGGTCCCCGTGTGGGACCGATGCGCTCGATAGGTGGCGCCGTTGCTGGGGAATCTCGGCTGCCTACCGGGGTCCACAGTGAACGAACCTAGGTTAAGAGCTGGCTGATGATCCAGGCAAAAACGACAACCTTTGATGGAAAGATTTTTCTCTTTGACGATGATTCGAGTATGGTGGCTTTCTCAATAACACGTTAGATTTGTCTGCTTTGATTGTGAGTAAGGTCGGAAGTGTGCATTGTGTGTATCCGTTTCAGCGATAGGGTCAGAGTAATAATATAGACCGGATAGGTTACTTTAGTTAATAAAGATAGTAGTTGAATGGTGAAAGTAGGCAAGTTGGAGACTTGACGGCCGATTGTTTTGTTAAAACCTTTCGTCCCTCAACAGGCGTTTGAGAAAACGTAAAGATGGCGGACGCTGACGGAATCGAGCGGGGCCCGAGTGCTACACCTGAGGACTTCGTCAAGGCATTGGAAAAAAGAGAGATGACACGGCTTCAGGTGCCTAAGGTTAACATTTTTCACTTCAACGAGGATAGAGTGTCCGAGTGGCTTGAGTTGCTGGAGCAGGTCACTAGCGAGGCGTCAGAAGCAGACAAATTCAAGTTGATGCCTAGGTATGTATGGTGGGAGCTTAGACCTGAGGTAATGAAGGTAGCGGTCGGTGCAAATGGTGAGTGGGCAAAGTTTAAAGAGGAGATGCAGAGACGTTTCAAGTTAGGTGACGTCCTGCTCACCAAAGAAGACCTGGAAATGTTGAGACGGGACAAGTTCTCCACAGTGGGGGCCTTCGCCACGACGTTTGAGAAAATGACAAAAAAAGTCCCAGGGTTGGCAGAAGAGGAGCAGTGTGCCACTTTCCTAGGGCACTTCAAAAACTGGGAGGGCTCGTCGCTAACTAAGAAGGCGGCGCCAGGAAAGAAACTCACTTGGGCTCCCATAAAGGAAGGCGTAATGGACGGAGAACTGGACCAGGTAGACATCTTCCAGATGAGGGAGGCTAGGAAGAAAAGGAAGGCTTTGGATGCCACCACAAGTGATGGACGTGATTTCAAGAAAATGATAGAGGACGCGGTGGCCCAGCTCGACGCAGAAAAGGAGGCAAAAAGGAAAACCATGGCAGCGCCACAGACCGTAGGGAAAGCGAAAAAGGCAGTAGTGCAAGAAGAAGAAGAAGAGGAAGAGGAAGAGGAGCCCGAGCCTCAGAAGCTGACTGAGGCTCAGAGGAAAGCAAGGAACTTGGCTCAAGGGGGCCAAGGCTCGGGGAGGGGACATGTCCCGCAGGCTATGGCAATGCCCCCTCCTGAGTCGTCCCATCAAGCTGCACCAGCACCCTATGGGCCGTGGCTAGGTTGTGGGCCTCCGAGTCATTGGCATAGACACTGTTCATACGCCCCGTGGCCCATGAGTGGGCCACATGGATCATGTGCCGGACCGTCAATGAGCGCGGCTTCCTGTGGCTGCCCAGGACCCCAAGCCCAACAAGTAAGCCATCCAGCCCCACCGCCAACCCAACCCCAACAGTCCGCCCCACAAGGGTCGCAAGGCAATCAAGGCGGTGGACGAGGATAAAACCAAGGATGGGGCCGAGGGCGAGGAAATAGTGGCCGGGGAGGAAACGGCAGAGGGAACGGTGGTGGAAACTCTACAGGCGGAGGAAATAGGGACTGGACTGCATCCGGAAGTCAGGGTGGTCAAGAAGGTGGAAGAGGCGCTGGCAGAGGTAGAATAGACTGGAGGAATGCCATTTGTTGGCATTGTGGCCAGAAGGGCCACACTATCAAATTCTACCACATCCGGAGAAATGATGAAGACGAAGGGTTGATTAGTACCAATTACAATGGCGACATGTATGATAAGTATGGGTACTACATCGACCCTAAGACCCCAGGGGGCACAAGGAAAGAGGCCTTACGAAGGGCCGCGGCCAGTCCACCACAAGCTCCACCAGCCATGTTTAGGATTTGGCAAGAGAAGGAGGCCGAGCCGGACGTGAGGGTAGAAGAGATTGGGGAGAATGAGGAGGTGGAGCAAGTCAAGAAAGCTGGGATTATCAGGGAGGAGCCTATCATAATAGACTCAGACGATGAGGAAAGTCTGGCAGTAGAAGGAGGATGGTGGAGTGAGGCCCGAAGAACGATGGATAATATGGAGGATTTGTTGGACAAGGTCCGGCGATACCAGGGAAAGCTGGTAGAGTTGTGCGAGGAAGTAAAGGTGTGGCAAGGGCAAAGGCCACAAGTCTTTCTGTATGGGTCAGGATCGCAGGGGGCGCCCGCGAATATCCCGAATGTGTCTGTCACAGGAGGGACTCCCAGATCAGGGATAAGCTTTAGGCCGCCATCACGATCTGGGAGGGCAGCCCAGGCAGTCAGAACGAGAGCCAAGGGACCAGTGGGGTCGGAGCAACCTGCCAAGGACGCTCCCGGACCAAGCGGAGAGAAGGAAGTTGTGGAACTCCCTGGGAATGAGGATGAGGAATGAAGAGAACGAAAAGGCGGAGCAAAGAGCTAAGAAGAGGGGCGTCAGGACTGACGCAGAGAAGGCCACCGAACCAAAGAAGAAGAAGTATACGGTCAGGGTGGAAGAAGAGTTTGACGTGGAGGAGATTATGGACCGAATTCTAGAAGGTCATAATCACCTCATGAACCTGAAGGACGTCTTGGCATCAACACCAAGACTTAGAGATGAGCTAAAGGCTCGTCTAAGCAGGAAAATGGTGGCGAGTGTACACCTAGGGGCCATAATCCCTAAGGAGGCTGAGTGGGCGGAAACCGGCACAAAAATGGACTGGAAGTCCGTGGCGTGCGGGTGTTTTGACGTTGTTGTGACGGGAAAGTCGTGCACGACCATGATAGATACAGGCGCAGAAATGAACCTTATTAAGGAGGAAGATGCATTGCGCCTGGGAATGGAGATAGACCGCTCCGACAATGACATCTTGGTGGGAGCGAACAGTCGGTCCATCTTTGTGGGGACCGCGTCCAAAGTAGTACTGGAGATCGGGAAGGTGAAGGTAAGGAGCTGTTTCTTAGTAATGCCCAATCTCGATCACCCAATTTTACCAGGTCGATCATTTTTAAGCAGAACAGAAGCCGTCATACTGAATAAGCATGATGGGACTATGTTCTTGGTCGTGTGTGACCCGGTGTGTGGCAACTATGAAGTTGTCACATGCCCGAACACAGGGCCACGAAGCATCCGGAATCGACCCAGTCATGACTCCTGCACGATTGAGGAGTCATAAGAAGAGAGAAGAAGGCTAAGGGGAGGCGAGAGCGAAGGAGAGAGACCGCCATAAGCAATGACCCTTAGCTTGGGAAGTATAGGCGACGCTATGGACATAGTGTCAACCTACGGGATGACGGATCCTACGGCCGTGGAGGCCTTGAGAGAAAAGGTGGTAGAGCAAATGGGAGCCGGGGAGATGAAACTGGTGTATCGAGCGCCAGGAGGGACCAGCGGAGTGGTGGGGGCCCAACCTCAGGTCGCAACTAGGCCTTTTTTAGAGGTGGGCTCAAGCAGGGATCTCAAAGGCGGTACAAAAAGGTAGATCAAAAGTGCCACCTTGTTCCAGTGCTCGTAGCCGAGGAAAAAGAAGTATACTACGAGCGGGAGAGAAAATTGATACGGCAGATGCGGGAGAATGCTGAGAGTATGCCATGTCGTATCAACCTGGAGACCGAGAAGGCGTTGATTATAGGGGAGTCTGGCTTCCTTACAGCGCAGGAAGAGAAGCTTATGGTGGACACCATAAGAGGAAGGCACACTGCATATGCCTTCAATGATGACGAGAGAGGACGTCTGGACGTGGATAAAATCCCCATGATTAGGATACACACCGTGCYGCATGAGCCGTGGWATTTGCGGGGTGCMCGATATSCTAATCCASCTGATGAGGAAAAGGTAGTCAACTTCCTAGATGGGAAGATCCGCACRCATGTATCAGACTACTCGAGCGGGCCGTATGCATCCCCCTGGTTTTGCTTTATTAAGCCAAATGAGACGTTGAGGTGGGTACAGGACTTGCAGCGCCTAAATGCTGTGACTGTTAGAKACGCARRTGGTCTCCCTAACGCAGATGCGCTTTCAGAGRCATGCGCAGGGAGGGCCATTATATCTCTGATAGATCTATATTCTGGTTATGACCAGTTCCCTGTATACCCATCTGACAGGCCAATGACGGCGATGCATACCCCTCGAGGGTTGATCCACATKAACGTCRCACCACAGGGGTGGACGRATGMGGTCGCCATGRTCCAGAGGCACATGGTGAGGGCGATGCAGCCAGTAAGCCCTCACATCACTCAGCCTTACATTGATGATTTGRCCGTGAAAGGGTCGAAGAAGAAGGATGAGCGGGAGGTCATGCCGGGAATCAGACAGTTTGTCWGGGATCATGTGCAAGACTTATGTCAAGTCCTGGACTTGTTAAAGGAGCATAACCTCACCGCGAGTGGGCCAAAATCCAAGCATTGCATGAGTGGTGCCACTATCTTAGGATTTGTGTGCGACGAGAGGGGTCGTCGGCCAGATATTAAGAAGACGAACAAGATTCTCGAATGACCAACCCCGTTCGAGACGATTACAGAAGTGAGAAGCTTCCTCGGCACATGCGGGTTTTGGAGAATATTTATTAAGGGGTTTGCGGCGAAGACAGAGCACCTGCGAAAGTTTGTGCGTCAAGGCCAAAATTGGGAGTGGGGAGAAACGCAGGAGGTGGTGATAAGGGACCTAAAGAAGGAGTTTGAGGAAGGAGGACTGGTACTGGGGGTACCAGACCATGCTGTTGTAATGACTAGGCCCTTTATCGTAGAAACGGACGCAGGACCGACTGCCTTAGGAGGGGTTTTGATTCAGAAGGACCTCAATGGAGAGGAGCGACCGCTAAGATTCGAGAGTCGAACGCTTAACACCGCTGAACGAAACTACTCACAGTTCAAGCGCGAGACCTTAGCAGTCCTCCACTGCCTGAGGATCTTCAGAAACTACCTCTTCGGCAGCAGGTTTGTATTAAGGGTGGATCCAACTGCTCTAGCAAGTTCTCTGAAGAATTATGCTCCCTCAGATCCAACCATTGCCCGATGGCTGACGTACATCTGGATGTTTGATTTTGAGTTGGAGCGAATTCCAGGAAACAAAAACCGGGCAGATGGGCTGAGTCGAGTCCACTGGGACAAGAGCAGTGGAGGAGTGATTGAGGATACTCCCCCAGTCGACGGGTTCTTGGACAACGAGGAGGATGTGAGACTTCACATCAACTCCTAGTCGTTGGCAGTAGGGAACTACATTACTCCTGGACGGTCTGTGTTGCTGACACCTCCAGGATATGTGCGATTGCCAGGGTTAGTCCTAAAACCCTATGTGGAAGAAGACTCGTGGGGAAAGCCGGATGTGGAATGGATGATGGAATTGGCCTTGGCGGACAAGCATCAACTGGGGGAGGACCTGATCACTGTGGAGAATGGGGCCCAGCAAGTGGAAAAACATGAGAGATCGGTAGGATGAGTCTACCTACTGGCCAATGCCTTACTGCAAGAGGAAGCGGCTAGAAATGTTGGGCAAGATCAGGAGAGGAATGAGAGCGAGGTATATGAGAGAGAAAAAAAGGATTTTGAGGAAGGTGAAATCAAAGAGGCCTTTCGAGCAAGCTCCGAATGCTTCTTTCATGTGAAATGAGGGAAAGGGATGCAAGTGAAAAAGTCATGAAGATGCGGCCAAACTTTCTGGTGAGAGATGGTCACCTGTTTATGAAGAGGAAGGGGAGATTTCCAAGGAGGGTGGTCTGTGGCATCGCTCGTCAGATTGATGTCATAGCTGCCCTGCATGATGGCATAACAGGTGGGCACAGGAGTACGGACACGACGTACCTCAAGATAGCAGAATTGTACTTTTGGGATGGCATGGGCAAGATGATTGACGACTATTGTAAATCATGTGTGCCATGTCAGGAGCGATCTTCCCTCAGACCTAGGGAACCGCTTCACCCAAGATACGTACGTGAGGTCGGAGCAGTCGTACACCTGGACCTACTAGCGATGCCGCAGGGGATAGGAGGATTCAACTTTATTTTCGATGCGCGCGATAACTTCTCAGGGTTCGTGGATGAAAGGGTCATTCGTACTAAGACTGGTGAGACGTTGGCACACTGCATCAAAGAGTATTACCTCCGATATCCCTTTGTCTCCAGATTTGTCATGGATAGGGGGTCCGAATTCACCTATGCAGAGGTAAAGGCGCTTCTACTAAGATATGGGGTGATTGTTGAGTACACTACTGCAACGCATCCCGAAGCAAATGCGCCGGTGGAAAGAGGACATAGTACCATCTCGAACCTTCTCGCAAAGTGGACTAGTGGGAGACCGAATCAGTGGCCAGATTTTCTGAGGGTCGCATTCTTCGTGGACAACATCACAGTCAGGAGGAGCACCGGTTACGCTCCAGCCACATTATGGTATGGGAGACATGCGACGTTCCCTATTGAAAGCTTCCTAAGAACTTGGAGGCGGCAGAACCTCGAAACGGAGTTGACGTTTGAGGAACTGCTGGACTTAAGGGCACGTCAGATTGGCACCATAGAAGACCATATTGAGGGCGCGGCAAATAGGCTGGCTGGTAATCGGGCTCAGGACAAGTACAGGTGGGATCAGATGGCCAGGGTAAGGAAGGAGCCTCTCAAGGTGGGTGACATTGTGCTGTTATATGATTCATCCCTGGAGAAGCAGTGGTCACGAAAGTTGGACAAGCGGTGGTTGGGACCCTACAAGGTCGCAAAAGTTGGAGAGTATGGCGCATATCAGATTGAAGAGCTGAATGGGACCGCTTGGAGGGACTGGGTGTCTGGCTCGAGGTTGAAGAAGTTTGTCGCTCGAGATGAGGTGAGCCTGGACCTCGCAAGTTAGAGTCCCTCATTCTRGTYAAGCATGTCGTTCTGRTRGGGRTATYAGTATCAGTATAGATTGTATGGYCATTCATTAGAATGGTATGATARGTCATGATGTTAGGGTTTGTATGATAGGATAGGTGCGTGTGTATATGTATGTGTATGTCTAGGTTAGATGGGGAGGGATMTGTTTRTCTCTCACTGTGTGYYGAACCTGCTTACRCTCTGTGTGCTTTTGCTTGTCTCTTCCTTGTTGTGCAGGCTTGACACCACTTTGGCGAAGCCATGCCAAGAGGGAAGGGAGGGGCGGGGCCAGTGGAACCCCCTCAGGRGGCCGCCAGACAGAGAGTACATGGTTGGACCMGGAGAGAAGACAGGCCGCCCATCTTCAGRGGARGGAACGTTGAGCTRTTCCTGGTGGAGTTTGAGAAGCATGCCAATGAGTTCARGTGRGATGGAGCCARGATGCTGAGGGAAGTGCGAGGAGAGGGCGAGTGGGCTGAGCCCATTGCCAAGTTTGTGCGAGAGTCAGCAACCTGGATAGAGTTTGAGAGGAAGATGGAAGGGATACATCCATCACCTGTGGGAAGAGATGGAGTGCCGATCCGGTTCGATGGGACGAACCTGGAGGAGTTCCTGTGGGCATACGACTGATTTGAAGACGAGCAGAACATTGAGCCTAAGTCGAGAGTGAGAGGGTTCCTCCAGTTTGTGAGGAGGCATATCAGGCTGTTCGTCAGGAGTGTAGTGGAGAGAGCATTACACTGGGGAGACTGCAAGCGGTTATTGAGGAGTCACTATACTGCAGTACGCCAGGCAGAGGAAAGGAAGAGCATGAAGAAGAAACGGAAGGAGCCTGAGGCTGAGGGCAGGAGGACCTTTCAGGAGGGTGAGAAGAGGAGAGAGCACGCTTCCCACAGGGCAGAGAGAAAGGAGGAATAGCCATCTGAGAGGGCACAAAGGAGGAGATGGTTAGAGGTGCCAGAGGCTCCTCCCTAGCCAGTTCAGAGGCAGGGGGATCAGCCCATGGCAGAGGCAGGGCCAGAGGGACGTGGGTCGCCAAGGCAAGAGGTGGATGAGGATCAGGCTGCCAGAGAAAAGGAATTGGAGAGACAAGAAAGGGCCGCCAGAGACCGAGAGATTGGCGCAGAGATCAGGAGGAAGAACCTCGAGGAACTGTACAAGAGGATGGAACAAGAAGAGCGGTCAGTGGTTGTGAAGAACAAGAAGGGAAAGAGTACCGGCAGCGAACTAGAAGACGACCCTCCCCTAATCTCTGAGGCGTGGGCGAACTTCGACAGGTTGATGGGAGCTGCAAGAGGATCTGAGGGGCCACAACAGGAGATGGGGGTGAAGTTGGTCTACGCAGACTTGCTCACCCTGAGAGGGACGATGAAGGAAGGATTCGCAGCAGCTCGGGCGTTAGATCAGAGGGTTGGAGAAAGGTTGACCAAGGTGGCATAAAAGGCCTATGGTCAGAGGGTGGAATGGGAACAGGAGATTAGGGAGTTGAAGGCGAACCAGGAGAGGCAAGAGCGGGAATTGAACGCGCTGAAGATGGAGCTAGAGAAGGCCTGGGCAGACAATGAGACGATCAGACAGGTAAACCAGACCCTCAACAAAGTTAATGAGGCTCAGAGGGCATACCAGCAGGCTCAACAGATTTTCTTCCATTCAAAGGAGAGAGAGTGAGAAAAGAGGATCAAGGAGTTGGAAACAAAGCTCGAGCAGAGAGCACCCACGACCTTGGTGGATTGGACTGAAGTCCAAGGGTTTGAGATGAAGAGGTCACCTGCAGAAAAAGCCTTCAGAAGTCAGAAGGCAGAAGAAAAGGCTGACCTTCAGGAAGGAGAAGACATACCCTTGTGGGACAAGGAAATGCTGCAGCCTGAAACAGTGCACAGTGAGGAGGGGGCAAGAGGCGAAGAGTCAGATTGGTCAATACCTTCTATTGTGGCGCACCAACAGGCCTGTGAGGGACTTGGCGGAGCACAGCAGACGGAGACAGTTAGGGATAAAAGCATGTTGCCTATCGCCCAGGAGGCTATCGAGGGACAGTTGGTTCAGAGAAATGAGGGAGTATTGCCTACTATCCAGGTGGTGGTCGAGGGGCAGATGGTCCAGGGAGTTGAGGAAGAGACTGCACAGGGAGCGGGCCAAGAGATCTGCCAGGAGTCCACTACACCTCCAGGCATGCCTTTGGTGGTTGGATTGGAGGAGGCTTTGGGCTCATGGGCCACTGGTTCTGGGTCAGAGACACGTGTGGGTGGTCCAGCCATGCAGGAGAGAGACAGAGCCGCCTGCCCCATTCCAGCAGAGATACCTCAGCAGGAGGTCACTAGTGAGGTCACGGCAGTCCCTTCATCAGCGGCCTCACAGGAAGAGGAGAGAGGGACGCAGAAGAAGATTGGCAAATGCTTCTACTGCATGAGAGCTAAACATCGGGCCAATGATTGTCTCAAGAGTCTCAAGGACGAGGCCGATGGTTTGGATACTAAGGACTCCCCGGGAGTATGGAGGGATAGAAATGGAGTCCGAATCCCTAGGGCTCGTGATGGGGTGAGAGCGCAAATGTATAGGTAACTGCAGATGGACATGAGTGATCAGGAGTAGGATTCGGTTAATAGGGTCTGGAAAGGTCTAACTTGGATATATGTAAGACATCTTCGACTCTCTGCTGATAGATGATTGTATATAGACAGACACATGGAGGATTGAATGACACCCATGTATATCAGTGGACAGAGTCTGTACTAAGATGACTACTATTACATTATAGACCTTCAGGACTAATTGTACACTAGATAGCCTTGAGTGTGAGCAGGCTACTTTCGTTTTCGTTGATACAGTGTACATTGTGTATCTTTTGTGTGAGCTATGTTTGATCTTTCTTTCTAGAGCAGAGTGTGTGAGACTTGTGAGAGTCCTGAGTGTGCGGTATGAGGTGACAGTGAGACCTAACACCTGACTATACTGAACTTTCAGAACGCTTTTAATTCATTGTATATACCTTGAGTCTTTGAGTGTGACAGGGGTTCTGCTTATTGCAAAAAAACTCATTTTTCTTGCGTATATATGAGATACAGGCTTTATGGAGTTTATGTGATACATCGCGCTCACATTCAGTTGTGGACTTGCCCATGTATGTGTGAATGTTGTGGAATGCCACTTATGTTAGATGCATCTGCACTATCGCTTCTCTATACTTGAGTATACCTGTCATTGTTACAAGCAAAATACTGAAGTACAGCTGAAGGAAAGTGCGCATCATATGTGAGAAGACTGTGTGTTGAAATTGAATAATGGTATGAATGGAAGGTCACAACTGAGGTTGTGTCATTTTGTGTGGTCTGAAAATGTGAAAGGGAACTCGATGACCGGTTGAGTTTCTCCTGTGCATAAATGAAATTATGAGAAATGCTATAAAATGATGATGAAAATTTTGTATGCATGCAAAGTCTGACAAGGAAAGACCAGAGTTTTTCGTGAGAATTATGAATGAATTGTGGAAAGTGTGATGGAGATTTTGGTAAAGTGTCCCTACAAGACGTGTGACCTTGTCTGCTCTAATCAAAGCAAGAAAGGCACGACCTTGTGGATTTCTTTTGTGGAATTTTGAGAAAGACACTATCCCTCCACGTAGTCCCGTGGGCGGTTGTATGTGGTCCTTTGAATATTTTTGTGTGTGACAGAGAAGGTCAAACCACAAGCAGTCAGTCTAAGGGACATATTATGTGACGCTAGGCTAAGGGGCTATACTTAGCATCGCTGGAACTGTAGAAACTAACTCCCAGCGAGGGCCGCTGATCGGCGCAACCTGACAGCGGGACCATGACTCACCAAAGGTTAAGACTTGAGAGGTCGGCCGCCTGGAAAGGCTTAGCTGGAGGGAAGGTCATTGGGGTCGATGAGATCAAGAGTCGGAACCCTTCGGGGTGCCAGGAGAGAGAAAACTCCTTATCGTTGCGCAACCAACGAGGGCACTGCCGCTATATAACAACGCGGCGGGCCGCAGATCTGGCCCGATCAACCAGACTGTGGTGGGCCAGGATGGGGACCTAGAAGCCGCCTGTGTTATAATCCAGGTTGGGAGTTCTTTGTGGATTTTCGAGATGGTAGTAACTACCATTTTTGGGGACTAAAGGTGCCCCGTGTCTTTAAGAGGTCTCGGTTAGGGCCCGCGTCCTAAGTTATGACCCTGCTTGTAGGACAATGACTAAACAGGATACCCAACGGTGAACCGGCAGATGTCTAAGGCGAAGGGAGGGGACTATCGAAGCTACTACCTGGGAGCGGACATTACGCTGTAGTACGGAACAAGTATCCCCTGCGTCCGAGGCCAGGACAGGGAGACCCAGGTTGAAACCCTGGCAGTGGAACACCATGACGGGGGTAGTTTGATAGAATGCCTCAAACGGAGTCAAGCCGGCTAATCGGATTGGTCAACTCCTTGTCAGCACGATGTGAATTAAATTGTCTATAGCTTTTGATCTGACCGGCGCGACGGGGATGTCGCTTAATAGGGTCCGGAAAAATTGTCGGCACCATTACCCTTACAAGGGTAGTTGTGCGTGTTTTTGCACCTCGCAGGAGAGGCGACTGGGCTAGGACCTGTGAAGGTGGCACATAGTTGTCTTGCCGCGACCGACTTGGAAGTCGGAAGCGGCAGGTGTAAGTGTGGGCCAATTAGAGAGTGTGTGAGCATGCACTTTGCGGGCATGCGTGAGTAGTTGGCCGTCGGCTGACTTAGAAGTTTGGGCCGGACTACGCAAGTCGCAGGACCACGGCCTCGGTAGAGCTACCGCGGCACAAGTATAGCCGGTAGGGCTATGGTAAAAAAGGGGGGGGCCTTCGCCGATCCGATAAAAGGCGGCGCCCTTGGGGTCGCATGGTGCAGGCGGCGACGGCATAAAATCGACTATGTATCACCGGGAGCCAAAGGTTGGAGAACGGGTGTGGACTGGACCCCGTAAGGTTGAAGACCGGGACCTTTTCCGGTGAAATGACGATAAAAGGCCGGCCACGGCGGGGCTATGAAGGCCGCTCGTTGCAGTTAAAGGTACTCGAAGGTGGCATGTGTTGCAAGACGCGCCAAAGTTTGCTTTGAGGCGGCATAGTGTGGCTCTACAAAGCCATGGGTCTGAAAGAGCAGGCCAGTTGTGGCCGTAACATGCCCCTGCAGGCCTGGGAAACCCGCAGGTACTATTGATATGCAGGTTTGCGCCTGCTATTTCCAAGTTGGGGCTTAGCCCCATAGGTTATGATGGCAGACTTTTACCAGGTGGATCCTGGGATCGAGGCCAGCAGCCAGCATTGGAGGAGCAAAGGAGCGCAGAACAATTGAGGGGTTGAGGGTCCCGCGGGATTATCCCTTTTGGTTTTGCCAAGGAGTCCGACAGCGGGCCCGCAAGGCAGGGCTAAGGGCAGAGTGCCGGCGGTCCCCCTTCCCTCAGCTATTTTTCCTTTTCTCTCTTTTAGAAATTCCGAGTTTCTAATTTTTATTGATTTTTTTTTTTTTTTTTTTTTTTTTTTTCC